AGTACATTTCAAAATTAAAATTTTCAAAGCATTTCTTGGTTGCCTGGACTCAGGAATAATATTTATCATTTCATTTTAAACCCAAGATAGTATAGGCATATATAAAAACACATGAATATTTATTTTAAAATTAAACTACTGGGGCCGGAGAGCTAGTTCAGTAGAATAAGTGCTTGTCTCGCAAACACAGTGTCCTGAGTTCAATCCCTGGTACTGCAAAAATAAATAAATTAATTAAATTAAATTAAACTACTATAATACTGAGCTAAAAGCAGAAAAATGTAATAGTCTATGCTACATTACATTGAACTACTTATAGTCTCAGTATAAAGCTAAAAAGGATTTTTCTGCTTAAATATTTTCTGTAGATGTTAAAGTAATATAAATATATGGGACACAATGCAGTTTTATAGTACAAATGAAGTTTTATTCATCTGTTTCTCTATTTTTCTTTCAAACCAATATGTTGGCACTGTATATAAACATTTATAAAATTTGTTGACAGTAAATTGAGAACAATGAATAATAGTGATAAAATTTTAGAAATAATAGAAAATAACATACTTTATGCTAATAATGGGAAAATCAAAAACTATCACATTTATAGTTTAAGAAGCATCTCACAAGCCATGGAGGTAGATTAGCAGCACAGGCACCTGCCTGGCTAACTCAGGGTACTGAGTTCAATCCCTGGTACCAAAAAGGAAAAGAATTATATCTCAAATGGTTTCTTCAATCAATGTGACCAGTAAACTTGGTAAATGGAATAGAAAAGACTTTTTATAGCATGATAAAAGGAACAGATTTTGTTTTAAAGTACCACTTTCAAGAAGTAGCATTACCATATTAAAATTACTTGATTCTTTTTGTTAATCCCAGTAATTGAACTAAGCTAGTTGAAATATAAGTTGTGATACTCTAATAGGCTAAATTACAATCTGTATTTATGGTTAAGTGAAATGAAATCATAACATGTGTACATAGATATTTAACAGACATTTAAATTAAATAGCATTAGGATGGTCCAAGCCATCTTAATTACATTCACTGATACTTTTTAATGTCAGTCATTAAGTGAATTTTTAAAATATGTTTAGAAAAATAATCTTTTATTTTACTTATTTATATTATATAAAATAGCTTTTCCTTATATTTATTATACTGTATATTAACTTTATCACATTGCCTGAAATAGAAAGATAAAATTAAAAATATGTTTCTAATTTCATGATTTTAAGATACTACCAAAATTTAATATTGATATGTTTTTCATAGTTTAAAATGTACTCATACATTATCTTAATCCTCACAAGCAGATTTTGAGTTAGATACATTATTCATTTTAGTTGAAGATGTTCAAAGAAATAAATGACTTATTAAAGACCACAAAGCTAATATTCTATAGCTTTCCATCAAGTACAAATATGAAGGTTTTTTTTTTTTTTTGTATTTTAGGGAAGGCTCTACAGGGTATTCAGGTTCTCCCTACTAGATCAGACTCGTAGTGATCCACTTGTTTACAGGCTCCCAAGAGCTGGGATTACAGCTGTGCACCACCACGCCCAGTCTCAATTGCCATCTCAGCGTACCCCAGGGACAGGGCCAGCACAGCAGGCCTGGGGATTACGTCCCCAGCCCCTGAGCCTGCCTGCAGGTACTTTAATCCACTGAGCTATTTGGCTGGCCCTACAAATATGAAGTATTTGTAAGCGTTCCATTTCTTTTATATGTTTTAGTCCAAGCTGAAGATCCTTAACAATTAATGACATACTGAAGCTTTCTACCGATCTTTAATCTACCTCCCTAGCTAAAAGCTCAGAAAACAGATTGCTTTGTGTTTTCTGCAAAGATATATCCATTTTGATCCATTTTGATTCCTTTTTTTTTTTTTTTTTTTTTTGGTGGTACCAGGGATCGAACTCAGGACCTTGCACTTGCCAGGCAAGCACTTATTCCACTGAGCTATCTCCCCACCCTGTTATACATACATGTTGAAAGTAGTGTACATTGTCTTTTATTTTATCATGTTAATCCCACTGCATACTTTAAAAAAATTACTGATAAGTAATTAACTGTTTCTGTCTATGACCCCATGTGGTCAATGAGTCAAGCCTTCACCCACTTAAGAATAAGGAAGTTACATTATAGAAGTAAGAAGTATATAATGAAAACATTGCTAGAAAGATAATGTATGAGGGATAACATGACCATTTTGCTAAGTAGGCCACTGTTTACTAAATTGTCTTTGATTCATGATTTAACAGTCAATATATGATTGACTGATTAATGGGATTTTTTTATCTGTTACGTAAACCATGATTTGAGAGATGACAAAACTTGGCAGTCTCGATCCCCCATGATCCAGGCCCGATGCTCCCCCATTCGGCTTCACTACAGTATCACACAGTGAACAGCACCCTAAATTTTTCAGTATTTTGGCAAAAGTACATTTAAAATTAAGCCTTGGTCCTAATTCATTGGTAGCTTAATTAAATTATGTTTCTTTGTCATTATAGAAAGGCAAGACAAGATCAAAAGACTGCTTTGGTGGCAAAGTAGAACTAATTTTATTCATTTTTTTGTCATTTCATTTATAGAACTCACGTTATTCATTATTTTTGACTTTTAATTAATAACATATGACCATGATATTTATCCATCACTTAATCTCAATATAAACTAGTTAGAATATCATTTACAAATACATTGTATTTTCTCTAACTTTAAACTTAAATTTGCATTACTAAATACATGTATGCACATCTGGATTTTTTAACTGTTGTTACATAACAGGGCTTATAAGTGATGATTTTCAGTTTTGCTTGAATATTACTTACTGTAAAAGAATTGGAAAGGATGAAATTTTAATGATTCAGATAGTCATCCAAGAATATTTTAATGAAATTGATAATATAAATTTGGGAAGATAAAAAATACTAAAACAATCACGAGTAATCTATACAATATTTCCAAAATAAAAATTGACCACAATATTGAAAAGGAGTGCTAGTTAACGTAATATATCATCCCACTTATCGCTGCTTGTGGCCTCACATCAGCTCACAACTTCCCATGCAGACCTGCAGGGGAGCAAGTGCTTCCTAATCCTGCTACCGGAAATGTAGCACATGGACCCATGCCAAGCTGCAGACTGCTTGTTTTGAGCCCTCAAGGACCGACGCAGTCCACACCTTCAGAATGCAAGATCAGCTACCTCAGACACAAATTTTGATTGTTTTTTTTTTTTTCTTGGATGTATTTCTTTCTGAAGAAATCACTATGTTGAGTTATATTCTGATCTGGTCTTCTCCCGCCCTTGAGCGCTGGATTGTGGACTGTCTGCCCTGAGTCATTTTAAAAATGATTTCTAAGTCACTCACTAACTCCTCCACAACAACAAATGCAAACACAACAACAAAGGTAGACAAACAGATTATCATTTCCATTCTCTCATTCCATCCCAATGACAAGTGCTGGACAGACTATAATACAGTTAAATTGCTCCTTGATTATACAATGAGGAATGTTCACCTGTAAAATTTTCAATAACTAAATCAATGGTTAATTGAAATAGTTACGATCAGAAGCACGTGATTCAATTAGAAATTAGAGAAAACCAATGGCAAGTGTTCAAAGCAGTTTCAGGGGGCTGGGGAGACGGTTCAGTAGAATAAGTGCTTGCCTGTATAGCTCAAGGGCCTCAGTTCAATCCCTGGTTCCGCAAAAAAAAAATCAGTTTCAAAAATTTTTGCTGGACATAATGCCAGAACAAAATTAGACGCCTACGTCATTTGTCTCAAACTCCTATCTTTACATTTCCTTGAACATGAAATTAGATAGCATAAGGACGTGAACACAGTTTCAGTCTGATGCCAAATCCATGAAAATTAATGGAGGCCCACATTAACTGGCTTTTTAGGGTCTTGCTTTAATTTAACTCTTAGGCCTGTGTCAGGGTAGTAGAAATCACAAAAGAATTTTTCTTTGTTCTGTGAAAATCACTTCTCTAGGTCATGGCTGAAATAAGAAACAGAAGCACTTTAATAAACTGCCACAAAATAAGTAGCTATCATAAGGTGAAAAAGAAGCCATTTCAATTAAAATATACTATAAATAAGTGTCACTGTTGTGCACACTAAGAATTAGACACATTTAAAGTCCTAGGGCTTTACCTCCTCTGGCTTTGGAAGAGTGCCTTGCAGTAGTAGACATGCATTCCTGCTCACGAAAGCCCTAGACCAAGCTTAGAAATAAGTTCTGCTTCCCTTCCCCTCAAAGTAAAGAGACTTGGACTGGCTTGAAAGAAAGGCTTCAACAGTTCCTCTTCCTGAAAACCGCTGGCTTCATAGAGTTCACACATAGCACAGTGGGATTCATGAAATGACTTCGTCCATGCTAACAAGCTTGTGACAGGCTTGATCTTTGTATCAGCATTCTGTGCGCCCCTCTTTGAATTTATTTTTCTGTGAAATGTTTTCCTTTAATGTACTGTCCTTTTTACATTGAAGTGATTCATGCATGTCGTGACATCAGTTTGATACGATGCTGACCTGAAAAGTATTCAAGACAGTATTTCACGTTTGTTTGTTGTCTTGCATGCAGGTGAATCTGGTGTGGAAGAGTGGTCCCAGTGGAGCTCCTGCTCAGTTACTTGTGGTCAAGGGTCGCAGGTGCGAACCAGAACTTGTGTATCACCTTACGGGACACACTGCAGCGGCCCATTAAGAGAATCAAGGGTTTGCAATAACACTGCCCTCTGTCCAGGTAGTGTTAGCAGTAACTACAACTGTGGATGTTATTGAATTGTGTCATGCTACGCATTTGGGACGATTTGTTATTTTCATGCAAATGGGGTAGAACCATTTTAATTAAGGCGGATAAGTGTAATTCTTATTCCACTGTGGTATTTTATTATGTCTATAATTATTTCTGATTCCAAGCAGTCAAGATGTCAAATGAGTAACTGCCTTCCACTGCAAATACCAGGTTCAAGTTTCTGTATATGCTGCTAATAGCAGAAGAGGATATGATTTCTATATTTTTGATGGTGAAGATATCCAATTCATTGTTTGAGGAAAAATTTGATTTCTAAGTATAGCAGAAATGTACAGAGCCATTGCTTAAGCCAGTGATTCATGATCTTTGAAGCAGTCAGCAATTTCCATATCACTCATGTGACCCTCTCAGGCAACACAGTGTCTCGGGCCAAAGAGCTTTTGTTGATGTGATGAACTGCCCTGAAGTTGCTGTTCTCATCAGAGTCATCTACTAACATCATTATGAAGAGAGAGAAAGAGAGAGAGGGAGACAGAGACAGAGACAGAGAACCTTACTTTCTTAATACTCATTAGAGCTCAATAGCTTGCCCAGTTAGGATCAGGTTTTCAATGTTGCATCAAAACCCGATCCTTCAGCTGGTGCACATATGTGTACGGTAGTTGTGTCTCCCTTCCACACTACTGACTTTAATGTAAAAATAAATACTATTCGAAATCGAACCTTGAAGAAATCTGCTGCACAAGAAGTTATGCATCCACGGAACTATATCTTTAGTCACTCATTTCGTGGATGGGAGACTTCACAACAAACTTACGGACTGCTACAGTTGACCCTGAATTTTATATATAATCTTTCCAGTGGCCTCCAAGAAGGGAGTGGCTGTGAAGAACGCGACTTGCACTGTAGGCAGTGTCACATCCACTAAACGATTCCTCCAAGTTTTCTAGTGAGCTCCACTTGCGGAGAAGACTGATTCTGCATTTGCTAAAAACAAGAGTACAGCTGGAGAATAGGCACTGTCCTCCTCTAGGAGACAGTCTTTTCAGTTTATTTATTTTTTTTAAAAGGATACAGAATTTCTGACTTATGAGGAGACAATGTCCTGAGGATGTGTTCCACAGCCACGTGAATCTACTCAGCACTGTTGAGTTGTACACTGAAGAAGGCTTCAGTGGTCAGCTTGCTGTTGTGCGGCTCTTTTCACAATAATAAAAAGCATAAAAGAATAAGAAGGTGGAGTTAATGATGGGGAGAAGTATGGAAGGGAAGCTACAGTGAAGTGGGAGACCACGTTAGCATGGAATGGAGAGGGAACTAAGCGGGACAGGAGGAAGAAGTGCAGCAGGGCAGAAAGTTGAAAGTTCTGAGGAAAGAATCAGCAAGAAGAAAATCAATAATGGCTTTAGAAAACAAGAACAATTAACGAGGGTCAGTGGGAATTGGACTAGATGCAAGAGAGCAGAAGAGAAAAAGACAGGAAATACGGGAGTCGTGGAAAGGAAAGGACATTGAAAAAAACAGGTGATCGAAAAGAAGGGTCCTGGGACAAACACATTCTGGGCACAGAAGGCAAAGGAAGGCAAGCAAGAAGGAACGAAGGATTTCTTTTTAATTTTTAAAAATCTTTTATTTATTTATATATTTGGTATAGGGTCTCACTACACAACTGGCACTCGTAGTGATCCTCCTGTTTTAGCCTCACTAGCGCTGGGACACCACGCCTGGTTTTGTTGGCCTGCTTCCCTGGAGGGCATGCGGTGCAGGGGATTGAACCCAGGTCCTTGTGTTTGTCAGGCAGGCGCTTAGGCCCTGGAGCTATCTGCCAGCCCCTGAAGCGGAGGATTTAGAAGTGAAGTCTTGAGGTCACAGGGACAGTGCTGTGTGTCCTCCTCTGAGTAAGAGCAGAGCAGGTTCTCTAGAAAAATCCCCAAAATGGCACCCACTCGAGTACTTAGGTGACGTCCCAGGATCAAGTTCCCTGTGCTTGAAGTAAGCAATAGTGACATAAGTAGGTGCCCTTGACATGTACTCTTATCCTACCAGTGTCCGTATGGTGGTCAAGAGGCCTTCAACACGAAAGGGCACCATCTCCTGGCAAACATCTCCCGTGGAGTCTGAAGAGTAATTTAGCAAATCTATTATTTAAATTTAAAAAGTTCGTTTTTTTTGTTTGTTTGTTTGTTTGTTTTTTTACAAAAAATTATGTGCAGCACAACAACTACCAAATGCCTCCAGCTGCTCCGCGCAGCTTTGCGTTCCGAGCCCGAGGGCCAGCCCCTGGCTGCGCATGCGCCCAGGCTGACCAGCCTGGTCTCGCCCTTCTGCCGCAGGCCTCTGTCCACGCCCACCTGACCACCAAGGGCACCTTGGCAGCACGAGCGCGCTTCGCCCTGCACAGGTGCCAAGCCCTGTCTTGCCCCTTGTGTTTGATGTGCAGAAAACTAACATCCTGTGACTTACAGTTTTCTTTGATTTCTAAACCTTTTTTACTTTTCACCTACAGAAGTACTGCCAATTACGAAGCAACCTCAATTTCCTTTTCACTTTCATATGCATGAAGTATTTGTCTTTTCAAGATTAATACTGATAAGAAAAGCCTATCTTTTAATTGTTGTTATACTTGTTTATTGAATTAAAGAAACAAGTTTTGTTGATTTAATTTTCCAAATATGAAGAATAATTTAGCAATTGCATCATTTAGAAAATGTTTGATAGGTATCTTGATATAAGAAGTTGGGATTTCTTTTATGTGGTTATTGTTTGTTATGAAATACTTTGTGTTCAGTATTTCCCTTATTTGACAAAGATAAATATGTATTTTCTTTTCAGTCTTTTATATTCTGAAAATAATAGGGGGTAAGGGAATTTTAAAACAATTTAAATTTTAAATAGTATTTTTAACAATGTAAATGTATTACTGATGTAATGAATTCCAACGAAAATTAGTTCAGGCATCAATAACTGACTTGCTAAACTGTGACATCTAGCTTTATTTGACATCTAATGAATAAAATTGGCACAAGAGAAGAATAAATTGAAAATAAAATTCACTGTCCACAAAATAAGTGGATTGATACACTGAGAGCTTATATTTATCGGTACTATAGACACTAACCAATAATGTTATAAATTTGTTCACTTTTGTTCATCATATTCAAATTTCAAAAGAAGGGCTTTGAAAAATTAATTTGTGTAATACAGTGTTACTTCTATCAAGGACCCTAAGATAGCCAGTCTTTTGAATAGTGTTTGCATTGACATTATTCACTTTCAACAGCTCTTACTATTTCAAATAGAAAAGAATGTGATAAACAGAAATCATAGAGATGCGTGGAACACGACACTCCACTCTATGTGCCATCCTGGTTGAGTCGTGTGCCTGCTCCGAGGTTTTCACACTCTGAAATCCACTGCTGCTGTTTTGACCTTGATAGGTCTTTGCTGCAAGGATCTGTCCTGTGCATTCTGAATTTTTAGCACCAAGCGTGCCCTCTGCCCATGGCATGAAATTGCATCCCATCTTCCTCCAAGTTGTAATGACCAGCAATTACCTAATGCATATAATCTGGGCCTCGTTTTCATAGGCTAAAGTAGAATGGTTATGGAAATTTTTTGAGTAAATATTAAAGTTATTATATCCATTTTTTTCTTAAGAAAAAAACCCTTTATTTAGAAAGGACTGTTTAGCTGAGCATGGTGGTGCAGGCCTGTAATCCCAGCACTTGGGAGGCTGGAACATGAGGATTACCATGAATTCAAGGCCAGAGAGAGTTACATAGTAAATTCAAGGCCAACCCGAACTACATGGTGTGACCCTGGGTCCAAAAAAAAAAGTTGGTTTTTTTTTTTTTTTTTTACAAAAATTTATGTGCAGCACAATCTAAGTTACAAGATCATTTGTATGTATATTTTAAAATCTGATAATGTATTTTTAAAATTATTTTCCATTTTCTATTTTGTCAGCATAAATTATTTATGATACCAGAAATAAAGGAAACCATAAAAGTGGATAAATTTGATTTAAATGCAATAGTTTTATTAGAAAAGTTTTTGGTAAGATCATTTTTCACATTAACTGATTTATATATTTTTCCTGAAAAGTAAAAATTTATTTAACAATTTTCTGTCAAACTGCAAACATCTTATTTTTATCATCAATCTTTTGAGTAACATTTATAGATGTTAAGGTTTGTTTTACATTTCTTACCTGCAATTGCTAAATGTTAATACCTAATATCTTTGGCAAATAAAAAAAGAAAAATTTTTAAAGGATCTCAATGTGTCAAGAAGCTTCACCATACAGCAGCAAGGACTACTACAGACTACTGTTACTCATTTTTTGAGGATTCTAATTCCATGATTTAATAAGCCATCACAATTAATTAGCATGTTTTGATACTGATGAAGAATTGTCAGATTTCTAGCTTTTTCTCTCAGGTTTTACAGTGTGTATAGTGCAATATGATCTGATAGATGAAAAATGAACAGAATTAGTAACATAAATGTCATATAATACTAACATTTTGGGGCTGGTGAGATGGCTCAGTGGTCTAAAGCACCTACTTAGAACAAGAGTAGCAAAGCACAGGAACCACGGTTCAGTCCCCCAGCACCACATGCCAGCCAGCCCCGCCCCCTGGTGGGCTGAGCTGGCCACACACACACACACACACACACACATAAATAAATAAAATTAAAAAAAAAATACTAACACTTGACATAGAACATAAAGGTTTTTTTTTTTTAATGGAAAACCTTGGTAATTTGAAAGAAATACAAAAATTGATAAAAATGTAAATCTTATAAGACAAAACGTATTAATGTAAGTTTAAAATATTATTTCATAATCATACATGCATAAATATACATATTTACTCATAAATGTATGTATTTACATGTAAATATACATATTCCCATATATATTATATATAAAGACTTGTAACTTATTCTAATTTCATTGACTTGCTAATCAACTTTGATTTCACCAAAGCTTTGTGGGAAAAACTTTACAAAATCAGTTTCTTTCAATCTCTTAGTCTTTACCTATATATCATTTTATAAATATTTTCCATCAAGTTGCACAAAAGGTTTGAGTTTTTCATTGATTAATTAAAATGGTGCATTTCTGAATATTTGAATGTATTTTCACAACCAACTGAGGTAACTCTGTGGATGGGGTACCTCACTACTAAGGTGTGAGATATTTGAGCTTCTTTCCAAATTTATTTATTTATGGTTGAAATTGACATGTGCAACTCTACATTTATGACATGCTGAATTAGTTTGAGAATATGTGCATGTCAGACAGCTAAGCACAACTGTTGTTAAGGACAGTGTATTGTATTTGTGAAAAATGCTAGAAAAGTGGGTTCTAATAATCTCACCCACAAAATGCTAGGCATGTGTGGCCATGCATTTGCTAATGGTTAGATTTAAACATATGTGTGCTTTAAAATAACAAATTGATCAGAATACACATGAAGAAAATTCTGGATATATTGGTTTTCATTTGCACAAGTGCTGTCCCTCATTTCTGTGGACTAGTGCTCTTTCCTATCAGTGTTAAGAGCTTAAATATCTTTTTTTGGATTCACTCAAAATGTATGCCCCTTTCTTCTTCTCAGTAAGCTTTATATCAAATATGTGTACTCTTTGAGCTTCTCAGAGTATACTAGGGCTAGAAGTTCAACTCCAAAATAAAACCTTGACCCCTATGGAACTTTTTTTTTTCTTTTTCTGTTCTTGTCCACTATTACTTAGTAGGCCAAATGTTAAGAATTAGAGTCAGAGACTGGGTGTAGTGGTGTGTACCTATAGTCCCAGTGCTTGAGAAGCTGAAAACAGGAGGATCACTGTGAGTCTGATCTGTGTAGTGAGACCTTGTAGACCCTGTACTAAATGTGAAGAAAACAACAACAACAAGAATTCGAATCAGAGCAGTGATTTGAAAATTCATGGAAGAAATCTAATTATTTTTTAATACTAGGAATTGAACTTGGGACCTTATACTTTCCAGGCAGGCACTATGCCACTCATCCCTGTCCCAAGAATCTTAATTTTCACTTATCAACTTATACGCACAGTGGCTCTTATGAAAGAACACACTTCATTACTGTTTTTGACGAAGCTTGAATTCATTGTGGTAGGACATGCAAAATATGGGTACATTCATAATAATGTTACATAGTTATAAATTTGTGGAGAATTTTCTTTTAAAAATTTCTATTAATTAGGAGGGCCTCCACTTCCACGAAGTCCAGGAATAGTGTCTTCCGGTTCCATGACCATTGGAAGGAGGTCTTCATTTGATCACTCATTTTGAAATAGGGAAAGGGAGCTATTTCATGCAAATAGGCGCAGTGTTTCCACTGTCCCCCTTATTTAAAAGATGATGAACTTAAAGCCCCAAATTTTAAATAACAGAAATAATTTATTTCCTAAAATGAAAGGTTAACAACTATTTGAAATGCATACCGTCAGTAGATTTTTCTAACATAGTAAAAGTCTTTAATACTAAAATTTTACAAAGGTTGGCCTCTAAATATTTAAAAACAAATTTAACTCCTAAAGTTAAATTATTTATTTTTTAAATATTACATCAAAAGTTACTTTTTATATTCCACCTTAGTTGATCTTATTTTGACTTAAAAATAATTATCATTGTTTTACCAACCAGAAAAGAGGGGCATTTCCACTTAAAAAAATAGGAAAAGTTTAGAATTTATAATATGTGTAGCAAATGCAGCAAATAGATACCTAATGTTTTCTGTATTATTTTGATGAATGTTTAAATTTAGTTTTTAATTTCATGAAAGTGTTATTACAACTATTTAAAAATATACTTGTACTTTGAAGAATGTTTCTTAATTTTACATAGAGAAATCGTCACTTTCCCTCTTTGCTTGTGTTGTTGAAGCTTGTTTGCTTTGTTGCAGTCCATGGAGTTTGGGAGGAATGGTCCCCGTGGAGCTTGTGTTCATTTACGTGTGGTCGAGGCCAGAGAACGAGAACACGATCGTGCACCCCTCCTCAGTACGGAGGGCGGCCCTGTGAGGGGCCCGAGACACATCATAAGCCCTGTAACATTGCTCTCTGTCCAGGTGAGCATATCCTGCGTTTGTTGCACTTTGCATTATGTACTGCATTTGTGGTTTGTAATGGGCATGGGCTGGATCAACAGTACAACTTGCATCTCATCATGCTGGAAAACATCCTCCACTAGCGCTGGCTCCTGGCTCTGACGTCATCAGGTGCACGGATGTATTGTATTTCCTGGAGTGAGTACACTGAGCCTTCATCTTTCTTGGGTTTCTAGAAAGGTATATAGTAATGCTTTCCAATAAATGTGTCTCAACATTTAGTTTTCATTTCTGGGAAAATTCCAACAATTTCAAATACTTGGTAGTGATTCCCTCTATCCAGTACTAGAAAAGTCTCTCCAATGTCATTCCCTCTTGTTCCATCCATGGAGGAAAGAAAATGCGCCATGACAGTGGGTGAAAGTAACTGATACTGGGAACGGGCTTTCCTGATCTGTTACCAGCTGTGGAAGTCAATGAGGCTGTATGCGATATTTATGGGATTAGAAGATGGTCATCTATTCTTGAGGGTTTTTTTTCATCTTAACTTTCTATTTATGCTGTTAATTTTATCTATCTTATGAGAGAGAGAGAGAGAGAGAGAGAGAGAGAGAGAGAGAGAGAGAGAGAGAGATCTTCGTAATGCTGTTACTTAGATTACTCCAACATGAAAACAGTATCCCCAGTGGGTAAGGTTGAGCTTCGGCCTCAAAAGGCTCTCCATCTGCAGGGAAGCCGCTCGCCTATAAATGACAGGCCCTCTAGTACAGACAAGAGTGGTGAATGAGGGGCCTGGGAGATGGCTCAGTGGAATAAGCGCTTCCCTGGAAAGTGCAAGGGTCTGAGTTCAATCCCCAGTTCCGCCAAAAAAAAAAAAAATGTGGTGAATGACAGTCGCACCGAGATCAGCCTCATAACATGTGAAAATGCACTCAGACACCTTGAGAGATTTCGCCGCCTTTTCTTTTCACATTTGCTGCGTGCAGTCAGCATCCTGGAATAGATCCAGTCCCGTTTGCACCATAGACTCCCCGAATTAATATGTTATGAGCCAGTGTTTCAAGTTCTGGAAATGTTCGTATCTAAAACATCTGAGGAATGCGGAAAACTATGGGACATATAGACAGAGTGGCACTAACTGGCTAATTATTCCCTTTCCGTCAGCAAAGACTTCTAGGTATTCAGTGGCACACACTTAAAGTTCAAAGAGTCTTACTAAGAAAGCCTTATGAATTCTATGAAGTACAAGTGTAATTCATAGAAATCAGTAGTCACGTAATTATGAAACTAGGGATTGAATTATGATTGCTTATTTGTAAATAATTCCCAGAAAACCTGTTCGTAAGATTGGGTGTGTTCTGTTTGTTCTTTCTTGCTCTTAGCCAAGTGTGTGCGTGTTCACACACACGCTTTCCACCTTACGTTTTATCCATGGACTTTGGAAAAATCCCATTTGTAATTTTAATTTTTTAGTTCCGATGTGTGTCCTTTATGGATAATCAAATGTAGCTCATTCTTACACATTTATAGGGTGTGCAAATAGATAGTGGGGTAAATAAAGCAATATTTACATATAGAATCTGTTAGCACTTTAATAGATATAATCCCTTACCTCAGTTGTCACTGGTAAGTACTAAGATACATGGTGCTGAGCAGCTGAAGTGTTATGAATAGTGTTTCTTAAAGTCTACTTCCCATGGACTTTTTGAGAGATAAAATACTTAGACATCAGGAAATCTGGGGCTTTTTTATCATTCAGCTATGAATATTCATTCTTTATTTTTAATTCATTTTATTGGCATATATTATATGTGCATAAAGGTAACATTTATCACGGGGAATGTACCTGTACAGGATCTGTCTTGTCTCTTCTCTTACCATTCCTCTCCCCTCCTTTAAGGCCTTCTTCCCCTCCTTATTTACAAAATGTTTCCATTTTCTCCTTTCTCCATTCCCTTCTTTCTGTCCCCACTCCCTCATCCTTTGTTTCTCTTCCCACTGGAACATTTTCTTCCCTTCTCCCTACACCAGTTATGCATTTTGATCCTTATTGACACTTTTGGTTTCTCACACCAGAGAAGCAATGTGATTTTTAAATAAGCATGTCCAATTTATTTCACTTAAAAGTATGGTTTTGTGGTACATTCATTTATCTAAAATCTCAAGTTTATCCTTCTTTATGGCAGAGTGTAGTACTCCATTGTATTAAAAAATATTTATTCATTCATCCATTGATGGGCATTTGGACTCTTTCCAAGATTTAGCTATTATAAATTATGCTTCTGTAAACAAGATTGTCCATATGTCACTGTGGTAAGATGCTATTAAATCTTTTGAAAAGAATCAAAGAAGCTGTGTTTAATGGAACCTCTAATCCTAGGTGGTTCTTTTGGAATCTCCACACTGACTTCCACAGTGGTTGTGCCAGTCTACACTCCCACGAACGGCGGGGAAGCGTTCCTTTCCCCACAGCCCCTCCAGTATGTGCTAGAAATCTATTGTAAGATAGAATAGGTAGAACTCTTCAGAATAGAGGTATGGGCAAAACCTTTTTTTTTTTTTTTAAAGAAAATCTTAATCTCATAGGAAATATTACAAAGAATCAACATCAAGTATCTCATTGTATTAAAGAACTTTGAAACAGCAGAAGAAATCATTAAGAGTGAAGACAGGACCCACGGAGTGGAAAAATATTTTTGTGAGCTATTCCTCAGACAAAGGACTAATATCCAGAATATATAAAGAGCTCAAAAACTCAGACCGCCCCAAATTTACAAACCCAATCCAAATGTGGGCTTCTGAAATTAATAGAGACTTTTCAGATTAGAAAGTACAAGTAGCAAATAGATACATTAAAAATGTTCAGCATCGATGGTCATTCAAGAGATGCAAATTAAAACAACACTGAGATTCCATCTCACTCCAGAAAGAATGGCTGTCATTGGTATGCTTTTTTTTTTTAGTTGAAGTAGTTGTGGCTTTATTATTCACCCATAACCATGCATCTTATCAAGTGAATAGATTTCTAGTCTGTAGTCATTGGAAGCATACATCACAACTAAAATCAGGTGCCTGTTTTTTTTTTTTTTTTTTTTTTTGGTGGTAGCAGGGATCGAACTCAGGACCCTGCACTTGCAAGGCAAGCACTTATTCCACTGAGCTGTCTCGCCAGTCCCTGTCTTTCTTATAGATCCTTCATTTTAAGAAATTCTGTTTATATAATTTTTAAGTCTGGCCCAGCTTGAATTCTTTCTTAAATGAGCATTATGGGTTTGTCTCTGTGTACTTAAATTCACCATATGCCATCTGATTCCTATTATTTTATTCTTGAATTTAGTTGTTCAATAAAAGATATGCTATCATGTTGTATTTCAATGTACTTATTATCCAAAAGAGAACTGTAATATATGTGATCTTTTTAAAATGTTTTTATACTCTACCAAAACATTTTATATAATGATTTGAAACTATAGAAAACATTTGCCACGATCGTCTGGAATCCCCCTTGAAATAGTTGTGTGATAGCTCAATTCAGGCACTGTCACTGAATATAAAACCAGCATCAAGGATCAACTAAGTATAAGACAGTGCTGTGAAAAATACATTTAAACACATTCATATGCAAATTTGACTGAAGTTCTTACAAATGCATATAAGTTCTCTAGCCCCAGTCCCCTAGACAGGAAGTGCCAGGGAGGGCAATAGCTCAGAGCAATAAGTGCTTTCCTGGCCAGTGCAAGGTCCTGAGTTCAATCCCTGGCACCAAAAGAAAAAAAACAGAAAGAAAGACTAGTATAAAGGAAGTGCCCTAGTAATACAGAGTGTGGGAGAAGGCCCACACTGGAAATCTGTGGTTACTTAGATGAAGTACAAGCTGCAGAGGATCATACAAAACTCTGTTCACTGTACCTCCACTCACCGCTTTGCAGAGTTACACCTTGTGAGGGATGGTGTTGACAGTAGCGCCGTGGTGTGGGGCCCCACTAGAAGAGCATCCCAGCATTTCGCTTTTGAGCATCATGTGTAACCGTTGTGCTGAAGTAGCCACCGTGTGGGAATTCTTCATGTCAAATCATGAATTAGTATTTCTACACAGTCTGGTAGCTCCCTGTGAGTCAGCGTCCAAGTGTTCTTCCACCCCTTCTCTGGTGAGGGGAACTGCCTTCCTGGGATCCATATAAGGACAATAAGGTGAAAGGCGGGGGGCGAGGATGTGACGTTCCCTCATCTATTGCTGCTTGCTAATTTGTAAATTCCCTCGGGAACGTGTATGGCTGTATGTAGGACCTTAGTGATCTGTGTCCCATCTTCCAATATGGGGTTTTGTTTTGTTTTCTCTGAGTTTCCATCATCACTTATGAACACTGACTTCATAATCTTACTGATGTTTCACAGTCCATGGACCTTCTCCCACATGTTTGCTTGTCTTTCCGTGGGAATGGGGGATTGAACTCAGGCCCTTGGGCTTGCCAGGCAAACGCTTATTCTACTGAGCCATCTCCCCAGTCCCCTTTCCGTGCTACTTTGTACCTTCTCATGTGCAGTAAACTAATTCACTCGACATGAAAATAGGAAAATTATTAATACTCATCTCAATGTTTAAAGGATAGTTTCCACATACTTTTAATAATATATGAATATTGTATAGTAGAAGTGGAAATATCTTAAACATTCACAAAACAACACATCTAAATGTAGATTTTTACTTAGTTATATCACTGTATACTCCTCTGATTATTTCTTCATCTGTAAAATGGGGACAATAGTGATGCCTGCTTTCATATTAAGAGGATTATACAAGGAGTTATAAGGGACAGAACTTGGTTTACTTTTAGCAAGCATTGTCAGACAATTAAGTCCTGTTGATATCTTCCAGCAAAAGCCCACCAGAATGACAATTTGAGTTTGTTACTCTTGCCAGTGAGGTCAAACCCACACAGGGAAATCTGAGGCATTCTTGAGAATATTAGGAAATACTCATCTAGGGACTTGGGCTGCCAAAGTTAGGTGATTTGGGGAGG